CTGCCAAATTTTTAACACTGAGCCCTTGTGGATTCCCTAACAAGGCCGGGCCTGTCTAATACACAAAACACAACACAAATCCACCTCCTTTCTGCCTGATCTGCAGTAATTCCCCCGGCTCACATCACTTCCGCACTTGCAGATCTCTCAGCTATACAACACAAATATTTTACACCACTATGAAAGGGTTTTGCCATGGGATAATTGGGGTACACACAGACTTGGCCAGTCTCATGCAAGTGTTTTTGAGCAAGAAATCTCTCACTAGTATTGATCCTGATCCTGCACTGAGCAGATTATAAAAGAAAATGTAGATTCAGTATCACAGCAATTAAAGTCTGTTCTGCATTTCAAAATCTAATTTTCATTAAGGGAAATGCTTTTATGGCATGTGCTCGCTTGGACTTAGACCCGGCTGGTCATGGCAGATGTTGGTTTCCAAATGAGTCTGGTTCTGCTCGCTGTTTCTGCCTGGTTAAAGGAGGTTCTCCTTGCCTATGTAACCATGTGCTTGCTCATTAGAGGAGAAATGTTGCATCTCTGTAAGTAATATTCAAAAGAGAACGATGTAGAACAATGCTCTTTAGGTAAAATGTAATTCTTAGATGGGATTTGGTGCTTTACAGCCAAAATAGAATCGTTGGATTGACTCCCCTCACTCCTCTGGTCCATTGACGAGGAAGGGAAGTCTTCACTCACTGACAAAATGAAGTTCAGCAGTTAACCCATGATAGAACCACATCATCTTGTTTTTACACTTGTTCATTGTACATATTAAACAAACAAGGTATGCTGTGTTCTTCTGTGATTTTTCGAGGGCACAGATTTGATCATATGCTAAAATGAGTCGAACATTGGGTACAGAAGAAAGAAAGTGACAGAAGAGAGGTTTTTTTGGAGAAGGGATCTATTTAGTGTTAAACTGATCTTTTAACTGCATCATTGGCAAGCATGCACGCATCATTGGCAAGCATGCACACAAGCACAGTCTTGGACGGGCCCGGTGAATGGTAATGCTGCGGTAATGAGTGTAAGCTGGACTACACCCATGTGACGGGTTAGCGGGTGCAGCCAGGCTGGCAAAACCAAAATCAAAGTGACGGTTTTGTGCTACAGAAAGGTTGAAATTTTGAAGATATTTATCACATTATGCAAATCTACTGTTGAAATGTTTCCTCTACATTGAGTTTTGAAGCCCTTTGAAAATGAGACAGGAGAAATTATAATGTCACAAGCACTCTTGTTTGCAGTTCTCTTTGCCCCTTGCTCAGTTTCTCTATAAGTCCATGTCTTTTTCTGTCATTCAAACACAAACATACAGATGAATAAGCAGACACTGCATCAGTGTAATTCCCCCTGAGCTCTCCCTTCCTCCACCTTATTCCTTCTCAATCATGCTCTGCTCCATCCCAGTTTTTATCCTCTTTTCTTCTCCCCCTTTAGCTCAATTAGTCTCCTTTCCACCCTGCTCCACTGATCCGTCTTTAAACTGATTTCTGTCTTATTCTTGTTCCCTCCCTCCTTTTCCTCTCTGGTTCCATGCCGCATGACTCATGGAGGATAGTTTTCAGTGTCACAATCAGTAGGCAACTTGGGTAAATATAGATCAGAAGCCTTAAAGACATAGTACGTGTGAGCAGCAGATATCACGCCTGACTTCACTGCGGACACCGATCAGGGAGGGGTTTTTGCCGAGTCGTCTATTTTCTGTTGGTTTACATCAGCAGAGTGAGGTGATACCTGCCTGAGAGCACGTCGCCTGCCTGAGGTCTTAAAGCTGGCAGGAGCTCTTATCATACCTCCATTCTTGAGCCTGTTCCCTCAATTCCTATTCTCTTGGTGTTCTTCAGTATGACCTTGAGCTCTTCAGACCTTAAATCGTTATTAGATTTCTGTCAGGAGACATCATATCCAAAACATCTGAGTAACTTCTACTTAAAAAAACATTAGTGAATGTGCTTTGTCTGTTAAATTCCTTTTTTGTTGTGTGCCGGAGGCTAAATGCTAGCTTGTATCCAAAGAAATACGTCAAATTAAAAAGAGATTCTGCAAAAATACATATACTCTTATTTAAGTTTTCTTTAAAGCTGCTGTAGTCAATATTTGGAAAAAGGTAACATTCCCAAGTAATTAGTTACTTTTAAAATGCAGTGACTCAGTAACTAGTAACTGGTTACTATTTTCAGTATCTTGCCCATCTTTAAATTAGTTCAGTATCTAGCAGCTAAAGAGCCATATTTTTCTGTCTACAGTGACAAAACAAGAGAATAAAAAAAGAAACACACAATTTACTCAATAATTCGCTAACACGTCTGCTATCTAGAATCAATAAAGTGATAAAATGTCCCTGATATGATGATGGATTAATTCGCTGCCTTCGAATGGCTGAACGCATCAACCCATTAATGTTTAAGATTAATTTGACCAACTTTTATTTGGTAGTTTTGTTATTCTACTATTTTGATGTTAACACTGTGTTAGCGTTTTTAAACAATCCAATGGCGTTAAAATCATACGAGTTACAGGCAGGTTTTGAGGAGTGCCACATCAAACAAAAAACAGATATTTCCCTGGTCCAAATGAATACCATTAAAGAGTGTATACTGATAATAAATCATAACAGTCATTCAGGTTGAATGGCTGTATAAAGAGAATTCATAATGGTCCAAATAAAGCAGTGATCTCATTTGCAGCTGTTCTCAGGGAAGCTTTTATCTAAAATTTTAGTATTGGCAGCAGTGGAGCGTATTAACCTAACCTATCAGTATTTTATGCCAAGATGAATAAGGCTGTACATTTGTATTCAAGAGAAAAAAAAAACACTCTGATGCAGTAACATAATCACAATATCAACATCTACTGTCTTGTGGTTTTGCAGTTTGGTTTTTACTTAAAGTCTGTAAGAAGAGTTGCATCATTGTTAATGGGCATATAAACCTACTAAATGCAACAAGTGTGGTGCATTCGTCAAACATAAAAATGGGAAGCTAGTGATTTAAAATATACCCCACCACCCATACCCACACCCACAGCATGAAAGAGTTTTCTCTTAACTCGTGAGGGTAAATATGTTATGAGATTACATAAAACAGGGATTAATGATCTTCCAAGTTTCCCATTATAACACTCAACTGTTCTCTTGGTTTGTATAATTGCATTATCTGTTTATAACAGACACAACAACAAGAGGACTAGAGGATATGTCCACCTCTCAAGATTGGGATTTCATTTAAGGGTTTATTTGAAAACACGGGTTTAAGATATACTTTATTTAAATCCTCATAATGCAAAACAATATTTTGTGTTTTAGGGTCTCATTATCAAAATATATAGCTCATATACTTCATTGGTAGTTTCACAGTTGCAAATAATATGTAATTTCCCCCTCCAATGCTCTTAAATGCCAAATTCAGCCATCCTGTTCAACCCAAACTAAGGCTGAATCAAAGTTTAGCTAACAAACAGGCAGCTAGCTCGCTAGCCGAGTTCTGGGCTCATGCTAAATCACAGCTTAGACGGTTTATAACATTCTTGGGGATGTTTCCCGCAGTAAACGGGGCCCCGCAATTTACAGGGATTATAGGCCTATAGTATGCTTTATATTTAGGTATGCACAAAAAGACTATGAGTACGGGAGAGCAGAAAGGAATTAGCACCATGTAGGAGCTAATCTAGGGGGAAGCAGCAAGAAATGGGGATAAGAGGGAGCAAGTTTCAAAACAAACATTGCCAAAGATCCAAAAAACTTTACTTAATCTACATTCATAAGGGTTAGATGTGGTTCCAGGGGTTCAAGGATAAGCTCCTTTTACATCATGGTGGACTAGAGGAGGACTGGGGTAGTGATAATCTGTTCAAGTAAAAATGAAAATGTTCCTGTTTAGTTTGTCATGAAATAAGAGCGCATGTGTCAAATTCAGAGTAGCCAAGTTGTCCAAAACATGACAGGTCTGTCTTACATACAGGTGTGTCACACCTGCTTGTTTTTCTTAATTCATGAAAGAGTTCTTGGGTGACTAGAAAAGTTTTCTTGGTGGAAAACTTCCAATAGATTTGATAGCTTCAAGATGCACTTAAACCAAAATTTAAATTTTACTGAATCAAGTTGTTTTCTTGAAGCAGGTAAACCCACGCATGTTCTTCCTCTATGTGCTGTGGCTAATCTTGAGCCGGTTGAAGCTGTTTGCTGTTGAATTATCCTGGAGTCCGACAGAGTTGCATTTTGTTGCTAGTTTTAGCCAAACGCACTCATTAGCATTCAAAGTGAATAGAATTATGTGTTTTATACAATTATGGGCAGAGATGGTCCTACCCAACTTTAAATATACAGTACCAAACCATTGCTGAAGTCCAACTTTCTCTTATGTAAACAAGAGAATAACTGTTTTTAACATGATCTTATGTGCTACATCTAAAAACACATTTTCGAATCCCATTCCTTCCACTGTGTACCAGTGATACCTCTGCACTAACCTGTGGCTAGTTGAAGGACTAAACAAATTACAGTCAGTCAACAGCCAACCTCTGTGAAAACATGTTCTGTACATTATTCAAAATGAAGTTCACAAAGCTTGTAAAAAAAAAGCTGTGAGATGTTATCTGTTGGGCTTTCAAGACTCCATTTGGAATGTTTTCATGAACTCAACCAAGGTGATTTATCAAGTCTGCTACAACTATAAACAGAATACAAACCGAAACCAAATTCTTATGCAGCCCAATTCGTGCCTCCGGCTGTATTCATATGCAGAGTTCTTTTCATAGAGAATAACCATTACCAAAACCTTACCACAAAGCCCAGCCTTACCGAACCGTTCATGATTCATCTGGCAAGTTCCCCTTTCCTTCAGCAGTTTGTTATGCTGTTCTTTCATAATCCTGTAAACTGAGGAGCATCTTCCGTGCTTTTTAAGCGGCGATCTCAGCTCAGTTTTTAGAGATGAACTCTCAGGCTTCTTCATGGTCGTCTGCAGTTCAATTTAACAGATGAAATTACTGCAAACTGCTTCAAAGTGCCATTTTATTCATAAGGCTGAAAAACTGTGGGTCTATCATGAAAAGCTTGCAGGAATTTCTTATTTCTCTGATCTATTTGATGTCAGGTTACATTCTGCAGTAGTGGCGAGCATCATCTTGCTGCACACAAAAAAATGGAAATCTCATGTTGACGGATGAAATCTCTTGAAAACACAGCATTCACAACACAGCAACCTTTTCCTTATTTTATATAAAAACAATATAATTTGAAAATAAATATGCTTTACTGTTTTACATAGACACAGACATGTTAATATTGAAGAAGAGACAAATGATGACTAATGATGAGGGCTCGAAGACTGATGGCCGAGAGGATGCAGATTGTAATCTGGATTTTAAATCGGTGGTGATACTTTATGCTAAGCCACTAGCAATTGTTTATTTTCATTTGCATCTTTGCAGGACGGACAAGACAGAGGTCCACTACTGACTTAAATACATCTTACTTAAACCTACACACAGATGTGCACAACGACAAATGAACGCGAAACACACACACTCAGACACACATGTACACAGATACACGTTACATTTTTTACACAGCACCCGCACCCTTAGTCAAGAGGGGTTAAAAAACAAAAATCCAGAAAGAGATGCCATCAGTGCGCCAGTAAAATTATCGATTTAGGGAATGTTCTCAAATCAGTTTCGATTTTTCTCTCATTGTTTCCTAGAAAAGCATGGTGAGGATCCATGCTGAGAGTCAGTGACCTTAAACGTGGGGGAGGGGGAAGGACAGCTACAAGTACATAACACTGCATATATAAATAGACCAAATTAAATATAGGTAGAAGACTGAATACTGAAAAATACTCTAAGACATTATAAATTATCTAGGATGAACTATGGCATTAAGGGTTATTAAGTATGTACAAGTTCAGAGAAGAAGATACGTGATCAATGGTTTTTGTATTGAGTTCAACAACTAAAAAACTACTTTGACAATCCCCTCTCCTGAAAAAAGGAAAAGAAAATAATTTAAAAAGCACTTGAAAGATTTCTCAGTACATTTTGTGAGGCACAGTTTTTCAAATGGAATCACACTACAGTATATAGGATGTTTTCAGTGGTTTTCATGTAGGACATAGCAAAACATTTGATGCTATATTGATAACCGGTATCCCTTTTAAAGTATATGGCACTCCAGAGTCTCTTCTCCTGCAAGCTGCTCACAATAGTGACATTGTGTAAGTCCACGTCAATCCTGCAATGTCCTCACGGGAAAGGAGGCGACATCATGTCCAGACAGATTTCCATCAGCTGCTCCGCAAGTCCTGCTTTTATACTCCGAAAAAGCAAACGTAGACAATGACCGGGAAAAAAATCCATCATCCCTTTTTGAAAATGAGAGCGTTCCCAAGTCCTCCTCGGCCTCACCCGCTGTTTTAGCAGTTAAATATATCTTAGATTGAAAGGTTTTGCAATTTATGATTGACACATAACCACAGTAGACTCATATCCAGTGAAGTAATTGCATTCAACAAATTTGACAACAGAACTACACCTGCATTGCAAGCCTGTTAGAAATGCAAAACCACATGGCGGCTATTTGCTTATTGTCAAAATGATGGGTTTAGTAATGTTTCTGTAGCAGCATAACAATTCTGTACTTTTTAAAAATTTTATCATGGTCTATATACACACAGATATACAATGGGAGGAAGTTCAGTCTTTCTCTCTGTTCTCTCTCAGTCAGTCCAAGGGGAATGCTTTCCACAGAAAAGAAGAGCTTACGGTTCAAGGTCAAAGTGCTGTGCTGTGAAATATCTTTAGAATATTCCTTCATCTGGTGCTCCCAACTCTCTCATCTTCTGGGCTTGTCACATCTTAAAAAGAGAAAGAAAAGAAAAAGAAAAAAAACAGAAAATTAAACACAGGAAAAAACTTGCAGCGAAAGTGTTGTCAATTCTTTAGCATTGATTTCCAGGTTTCTTTGGGTCCAACTAAAAATTCTAAGTCCAATGCTTGCTATTCTGTTAGCTCTGTTTGGTCTCAACCTCGCCTGGTAATGCCGTACTAAGTTGCTAATACACTGGAACCTCTCAGCTCATTTTCAATTTCCAGTGGGTGTCATTAACAGATTCAAATGTAAAAGCCTATGCACCCTTTAACCCAACAAACTGAAGAAACACCACATAGTGGAAAGCAGCCAGACTAGAATCTAGTTCTGACATTCACTGGTAGCTAACATTGAACTAGGCTGATGGTAGTCTGTATGAATTGGAGGAGAACAAGATGCATCTGTTGGAGTGTTTCAGTGAAAACAGCTGCAGCTGGAGAAAAATGATGGGAGCTGTATGAGTCAACCAAAACCCTAAAGTTGTGAATCATAAAAAACAAAATTACGAGTTAAATGATGTACTAAAGGAGAGGATGGCAGGCTCAGTCGTCACTCATTTGCCACATCAAATCCAAAAAGTCGGGAGCTCATAGTCTACATAACCAGCATGACGTCAGGCATTGGTCTTTGAACCCTTCTTTTTTGCCTCAAGTTTGGCATTTGTGTTTTTTTTGTTTTCTTAGAACCAGAGGCGACCATCTTTGAAGGACAGAGTGGATACATCACTACCCTGGTGGGCAGTCACTATTGCAGTGACTTCTCAATCCCAGGCAGCAAAGCCCTAAAGCAAACCCTGCTATAAATAATCCGAGTCAGACTAACATCAAGCTGTATAGAAGAAAACTTGAAATAGAGCGATTAAGAGAATAAACTCATGAGGAAGATGTATACTGAGGTATGTACTTGACTGAGAATAGGGTTCACGTTTGGTTTTTACAATCGGACTTCTTTTTGTAACCAGTGGAGTCGACTTCGTATGACCACCCATAAGAAGTGCATGTATCCATTGTTTAAAGTTTTACTATCCCTGTCTAGTAAGATGGCGTACTGTTGAGTGACATTGAGTTGACTGGTGATGTTTTTGTTTGGGAAAAGTCTGCATTTATCGACTGTACACAAAAGAGAGACATCAGAAAAAAAGAAATGATCGAAAGAATCTCTATTGATGGTCAACAGGTCAGCTCCAGGCTGGATGACAATGCACTTTGAAGCAAGAAGATATAAACTTTAGGACAGAGTCTAAAAGTCAGAGTTCTACTCTAGCGCTTTGTGATGCCACTTACTTGCAGGTCCTCTCATTGAGCTCTAGCTGGCGGTCTTTACAATATTCGTCAGTGTGTTTGCAGGAGCACCGACAGGTTGCAGGATCCTGCATGAACAAACGCCTCCTCCTGTCCGAGCAGTGGTCACAACATGGCTCGCAAACACTAGACAGAGAGAGACAGACAGGGGTGGGGAGGAAAAGGGAGAGATGTAGATTATCACAGTGTACCATTACCACCCACGGGAAAAGCAGCCCTCAAGTCAACCCCATCGTTTGCTCCAGTTTGCTCCTCCAAGCCACTGGCCGACAAGTTGTGCTGCATGTGACAGTTGGGTAGTATTACACATAGGTTCCCACAGAGCAGGCAAATATTCAAGCAGTAAAATTACCCTTCTCCACGCCCCCCCAGCCCTCCTGCGTTGATTGGACCATTCACAAATACCTTGTATGTGTTAGACATGCAGAGAGCAAAGCTTTGGACCACTTCATGCAACACCAAAGGACACATATCGGCTTTGAACTGAAGGTCAATGACAACACACTTTTTAAAAATGCTTGAAAAAGAAGACTCAAGGGTTTGCTTGGTTCTCCATTAAGAAAGATTTCATTTTATTGGGTGAAAACTAAAAACTACGCTTCCCACAGAGAGACATTAGATTCAGAGCAGAGAACGACATCTCAAGATACAAAGTACAACTGAACACAAAGACATGTATTTACATTTTTGATTTTCCAATAAAATAAAGTTGCTTTTGTAAAGTTTCAGACAAAAACAAAAGGCATAAAAATATCACTTGCTTCACAATTTGCTGGTTTACAAGTCCCCCCCCCCCCCCATAGCAGACATGAAAAAGAGGCAATAGATAGCCATCACTCATATCTTCACATTACATAAAAAGTACCAGCATTGTACATGAGACAGCAGAACCTGTTTGTTAAGATGAAAAGAAAAAATGGCTGGAGAGGAGACGGGTACGAGACACAAGAAAGCGGCACAGACTCAACACTTAACACAGGACCATGATTGCAATCCCGGTTATCGCGTCACAGATACCACAACAGTACGAGGCGGTCTGCAGAGCCATGCTGGTGGAGCTGTGATCTGTGTCAGTAAGAAGTTTTGAGGACAGTCTGTTTATTCCAGCTTCTTTATACAAGTCCATCATCAATCAGAGAGCTAGCTATCAGACAAGATGTTGGCAGCAACTTGTTTCTTAAATGGTTTGTGATATGCCGCCGTATCTGCTTCAACCATCGTCTTTGTCTTGTCCACAGAGAGTGACATTCTTGAAAATGTGAAGCTGGTAAGATTGCTGGGAGATGAGATGGGTATTACGACTGCTAGAGATTAGTTAGGGTTCATTTCCATTAGATGTAATATAAATAGAAAGTTGGCTGCGCGTCCCTTGTTATCACTGTTATGCCAATTTTTGCTTAAGCTACATTATCAAAAACATGTAAGCAAACAGCTTCGCACTGCTATAATGAGTATGCAGAACGTGACTGACAGGACGAAAGTTAGTACAATACACGGAAGCAACATGCTAATTGCTGTAGCTAACGGGCAAATTAAATGATGCAAATTAAAATGGGCAAAGAAGCTCCTCCCAAATGAGCTTAATTATGAGAAGTGTGACACTCAGGTGCAGGTAGGTGGAGAAGGCGGAGCTGACATACGCATCGTGAATTGTTTTGTCGCGGTTTTTCTTTCGTTTTCTCTTTTGGCCTTTACCCTTGCCTTTCCGGGGTTTTCTGCAAGAGAAAGAGGACAACAACGCAGAGAGATGCCTGAGAGACTGAGGAGAAATTGACTGAGGTGTTGATTTAAATATCCGGTATTGATTGACTGGTTTTTGGATGATCAATTCTTTCACCAGAGTGGAAACAAGGCATCAGGCAGTGTTCACTTCATGTATGTAGATTTGGGCTTTTTATCAGTTAGGAATCATATCAATTCCAGGTTTGCAGAAAAAAATGAAACCACTTGCTTTTTGTTGAAATGAACTTAAAAAAATGACTTTCAAAAGGCAACCAATGGTGTGTTCTGGAACTTACAGAAGGTGGTTTCCACTTATCTTGTAGTTTGTAAATGTGATGAATATCAATGTCAAAGTAAAAACCCACTTTATGGTCCAACTTTGGTTGAAACATTTTTGTTCAACAGTACAATGACTCTGCAGACTTTGTTAGGGATTAATGGTTTGAGGTTTGGCTCTGCCGGCTGTTCTGAAATTTCCCAGATGGCTCGAGGACAATGAACTTGGACTTGACTTCAATACTGCTTCTTTAGGGCCTATCTGGGTCACCTCTTAAAAAGCTGATTCAACTTGTTTGTGAACACAGAACTATGAGAACAAGCTTGTGAAGCATAAAAGATGAATTTCACAGGTGCAGACAGGATACAAATATCAGGGTTGTACTCTGTTTCGAATGCAAACTGGGTCTTACTGTCTATGATGTCTATGACGTACACAGCTAAATATAGCTTTAATACAAATTCATTTTATCCTAGAAACTCTGCTCTTACTGACTCAGACTATGTTGCAGGTATTTAGTCCAAAATAAATTCTGACCTGGTGGAGTTAGATGAAAGGTCAGTGAGTCGGTTATTGTAATTTATGGTTCTCATCAAACTTAATAACAATCCATGTAATAGCTGCTGAGGTCTGACACAGCTGTGACATAATCACGACATTGACGATAAGGATTAACATGTGACGAATCCAACTGGTGTGAGAAATCCCTCTTTCACTTCCCCATCCATCACTGTTAACGATAACAGTTAACAATTTTCACAACCTCAGCAGGATGAGTTACCCTGACAGACCCCCCAGAAGACCTGTCACTGCTGAGAGGTCAGAGGCCAACGTAAAAAACTAACATGAAAGTATGAAACCAACAGAAACAGGAGTTGAACGACCCTCGGTCCATCACTCTTCAGACCGCACCAGAGCTTGACTCGTGAACAGTAAAGATGAGGCCTCAAAACTAACCTTATCTATATGACAGAAAAACCTGACATAAACACAACCAAACTGCTGGTGAGGGATATTAGAGAGTTTGGAAGATTAAAGAGTTTTAATGACCCTTAGCACACTGACTTCTGTGGAATGGGATGAGGAGAACACTTAAGCAAAGGACCATAAACACAAAAGTTTAACAGATCTTCAAAAAAACTGTTATCTACATCAGAGAAGCCAGTAACAGAAGTAGCAGAAGTTAAGTGGGACATAAACAGTAAAGGAGAGAGGAGCGGAATGTAAAGGTGAGATAGAAAAGGGAGGGAAGGTGTAAAGGACACATATAGAGAGGGCAACGGCCTCGTGAAGTGTCACTTATTCACCTGGATGAGTAAAGACGGTGTTTCCCGTGTTTATCACCTGAGAGCTGCGCGCTTATCTCATGTTTGAGCTTGTCTGGGTTTTGGTTTTTTTTATGAAATATTATCACTTGTATGTGCCAATGTTTAAGAAAAGTTAAGAGAAACCAAGCATGTGAACAAGGTTAGAAATAGCACATGGGAACATTTCAGAGAGTTGCGGGTGACAAGAGGGGGAGTTTGTTTGTGGAGCTTAACAAGAGAAAGATCAAATCTCAAGTCCCCATTGTTTGACCCAGTCTTCATGCAGAAAGAGGGCTGTACTCACTTTTCTCTCTGTTCTTTCACTTCTTTCTTTAACCTGAAAGGCAGGAACAAAACAATATGACATTAGATTACAACATGCTGTTTCCTGGTGAACAGATACACACTGTATGGAGATCAACCTAGCCCAGAGGCTCATGATCAGCATGTCTGGATCGTGTTATGTCATCCTCTTCTTTTTTTTTTTTTTTACCAGAAACTGTGATAAAGCTGGCTTTCACTTTCAAAAGAAAATGGACCTGATTTGTTGGGAAATAATGCTCTGTGAACACTCACAGACAGGCACACACACGTACACAAACATGACTACAATAGAATGTTTTCAGGGTTTGTTTCATTTTTCCTCTTAGTGACGACTCCTGCAGATAACAGCGAGTGGAGCAATACGATTTGCCGGCACACAGTTTGCCAAAAGAGTTAGGAAACAGTGTTTCATTCAAAAAGGTCACGGAGACACAGCCAAGTTTCCGTTTGACAAAGTGTTACAATAACTAAATAAACATGCAAAAGGAGCAGGGATATATGTTAGGAAATATGCACATCTTCAGATAAATACTTCATGTGCCACTGTAGATCGCTTACACTGGACTCTTAAATAAAAGAAGACTTATAAAACTACTTTAGGACTATCACATTTACTGAGTAGCTTTTACAAGAAAAACTTGCTAAAGCATTGTACATTGGTTCTCACACATGTAGAATATCTGTAAGGAGACACTCAACATTCTCTATGCAGTAACGACTAAATGTTTTTCCATTCTGTGATCGTCTCACGATGTATCGAAGTATCCCTTGGGAGTGATAGGGTTCGCTACAGGATAAAAGCTGTTTACCTTAAGAGAATCTTCAATTATACTTTTGATACTGACGCACTCTAAATGTAGTTGATTAAAGGAGTAATCCTCTTTTGTGTCAGGCAATCCGTCCTGTTGTTGATACCATTATAAAATGATTGTTTGTGCCTCAGATTCAAATTGCCTCCACATGCACAAAACAAGGGACTGACTGGAAAGGATGCAAACTGAAGTCCAGTGTTTGTGTTTTTAATTTTCATCATTCACATGTGTCTCAATTATTACTTTTGTGGCTTTATCAATTCTTTATCGTATCATAATATAGTTTACTCCTATAGATACATCAGTTAGTGATAACTGCAGTATCAGCATGAAATATAAATAATAAAGGTAGCTCAGTGTGTAATCAAAGTACTCGACACAGCTGATCATCGAGTATGCTACGTCAAATAGTTTCCTTTCTGCCTATCTATAGAAATTGAAATATTGGCAGTGACTTGGTGATCTGTTAGCTGACTTTAATACCTTTATTTTTATCATTTCCAGGAACATGAAAGTAAAGCCAGAATTTTAAAACAGTGCTAAATAGATTGAACACAGCCTCTTAACTTTATAGAGGTGCACTTAATGTTTACAGCCATGTTGAAATTGTTTTACAGTGAGGTATTGAGAAAGCTCAGGCAGCAATAAGTCCAGAGTTACATTTCTTTATAGCCCGGGGCTTCTAAAGACAGACTCAGCCTCACTGTGACCAATGAGACAAACATGTTTCAGATTTGAATATTTAGAAAAGAGGCATTAAGTGACAACAGAGCTTGGTTCTAGGTCAGCGTCCCTACCCCCTACAGTGTTTGCTTGTATTTTAGATTTATCTTATATATAAGAGAAAGAAACAAGTCGCTGCTGTGTCACTACTTCATGTCTTTCAACTCACATCTCAGCTTCTTTAAGGATACTATGCATCTAACCATTAAAGGTTTCAAGGTCACTGAACAGGGAATCTTATAGAAGACATTGTGCCTCGTGTGTAACCAGGAGAATTCACCTTACTGTGACTGGGGTGGGACCAGCAGTACTTATCTCACAGGTCAATAACTAAAGCTATTACACCTTTTTGTAGTTCCAGGTGTTACCTCCACATGACACAGCGGGGAAATAAAGGATAATGTAGCACTATACTCACATGAGCATCTTTTTATAGATCAATGGAGCAACAGTGGCAAAGATAACATACCTGATATGCATCTGCAAAGTGTGTAAGAAAATAATAGCTTTACCTGATGTGTTATGTTAACTTCTGCTACCCACGGTGCTTTGTGTTTCATCCTTTTAAGTGTGTGTGTGTGTGTGTGTGTGTGTTTGTGTGTGTGTGTGTGTGTGTGTGTGTGTGTGTGTGTGTGTGTGTGTGTGTGTGTGTGTGTTCAGGGTTTCTTACCTACACTCACATGCGCTGTGTTCTGTGAAACTCATGAAAATATCATTTTGTTGTTTTTGGGGTTTTATTCTTTTAATCTGTAAAAAAAGAAGAAGAAAGAGGAGTTGTTAAATATTTGAATGAAGTAATCAAACCACATTATTCCTAAACATCTTGTTGTGATAGTCATGATTCATTTTCACACTTTAAAGCCTCTAACTGGTCTGCAGGAAACTGAAGACACCAAACAAAGCTGTAGTTGACACATCTGTTTGTTTCCTAAAGTAAAAGCATTGATGGTGTTGATGTTACGTGGTTTTCTACTGTTGATTCGTATTTCTTTACATCTTGTTGCAAACTCTCCTTCTGCATTTGTTTAATAGCAGCAGACTTGATGATAAAAAAGTTTATATTTCAAGCTGCCCAAGTCTTACAGTTTAGCTTGAAGCAGAGGATGAAAAATTGCATCAAATTTGAAATTCCTTCTGTTGGTTTTTCTGAAAAAAACTTGCATAACTGAAGGTTTTTGCCAAAGGTCACATCTGAGCAGCCTTTGCGCAAACAGCAAGGCACCCTGAGGGCTCTTGATTTATCAGAGGGACACTTGCGAAGCCATTGCTGCCCCTCTGGTGTGACAATTTGAGCAAAAATAAAGCACTGAACTGCCTTTTTATGTCACAGAGATGCCATAAACAAGGGGTTTTAGATATAGATCAAAGTAGAGGTCAAATTAGAGGAAAAAGAGCAAACATGCTGCATAAACAACCCATGCAAAACAAGTGTTTTTGCTGCTGAGTGCGGACAAAGCCACTGACCTCCATCGTTATGTTGTAGCTTGATGTAGGCATGCACTGCAGCATCTCATCGTTGCAGCAGCCCGCACATCGTGTTAACACCACGCAGGACGGGATGAAGATGTGCTCCACTTCCTCCGGATACTCCTGTAGGATCTCCACCAGCAGCTCCCGCGGCTGGCACAAGCTCTTGTTGTAGACCTCCATTAAAGGGATCACTAGGGGAAGGAGAGACAGTGTAGGATTCAGAAATTGACAGCAGAGCTCTAGAATAATCCACTGACTCTTAAATAGTACACTACTGTAATAATGACACAAAGCTAACAAAGAAATATGAATTACAAATGTGGGCAGGCCAATTGAACACATTCATGCAAAATCCCATTTTACTTTTACTCCATTGAGTAGCAGTTGGTTTATTCATCTACTTTTAAACACACATGCAGGCAGTTTCTTCTTGGCGATAACAATCATTAAATCTATGTTTAACCCATCCACTGAATCAAATAATTAAAAAAAATGACTATAACTACAAATGTTTTAGCCCTGCATCTGCCCCATTGTGATTTAGTCCTCCAAAAGCTAACAGCCAATGATCAGCTTGCGCTCCCCTTCTTTGCAGGAGTTCTGCTCTTGAGAAAGATATTAGCACACAGTCTGACAACACCTCCAAAACATCACTCAGGACCTAAAACAACCCCGGCCTGACAGGCCTTCTGGGGAGCCAAACCAAATAAACTTGGCCTGAGCAATATTGTAAAGTTCAGCTTCTGATTGTCCAAATTAGATTGGGCAACACTGGGATTGTGCAAAAATGAAATTGTGCGGCCAAGAGGGTGAAATTCCTTTCTATAACTGAGTCTGGTCACCATAACATCTCCCGAGCTTAACCTCAAACAAGAAGGAATGCTGCTCAGGATGAAAACGTCCATGAGCTGAGATTTAGGGGTGAAGCGGCTCTCATTTTAAAAAGGGAGAGTTTAGAGGGAGATCTGAGCTAGGGCAGGATTTGTAGTTGTCCACCAGGAGGCGTTAATTTCCCTTTAATGTCAAGGTGAACCTTAAACCAGCTCTTCTCTCCTTGGCTGTGTGCCAGTCAGGGAGCCCTGAGTAGACTGTATTCCCACGGTGCCCTGTGGGACACCTACCGTCATGTGGACCTCTTTCTGTTTCCTTCGGTATGTGGGCGCTCTGCATGGAGGGAAAAAAAACGAACTGTTAGTTATAGTACATTGTGCAAGAGCTCAGAGAAAAAAACCGCTGCTCATGCCCTTTACTTATCCAGACTTGCGCAAATATATATTCACATCTGGACTTTTCTCCTCTACCAGAATCAGAAAATGGCAACTGCGTTTGTATGTTATCTTTTGACGACTCTATAGGCTCTATACACATTGTAGGAGAAATAAGATCCAAATACTCAGTATGTCCTCTACAGGCACTACAAAATTAGCTTAATAAATCTTATGGGTATTTTGCTATCATACACATCGGGGAAGCATTTTTTTAAATACATTATTCAATATTTTAACACTAAATATGTTTCCTGTCTTCAGTCATATGCATTCACTTATATATAGTGTGGGCCAAATATTTGAGTTACTATATGCGGACAAGCTGACCTAAATTCTGCCACATCAACTACGTGACAAAACTTAACAAACTACTGAACCTCTGTGTTGGTTTCGTTTCAGTCACCAAACCTTTACTCGGTTCCTCTGCTGCCTCTTTTAACAGCAACACGGATTAAAACCAGTTAAGAATGTCAGCTTTCCCTCACAGGGGGTTGCCGTCACTAAACCGGACTACAGCACACTACAATGACGTTTGGCAACTTTCCATGTGTGCGCGCATTACGCACAACTTTCTCTCTCCTTCACGGCACAAGCCTTCTGCCGCGCTCTCTCTCTCTCTCTCTCTCTCTCTCTCTCTCTCATGCTCACAAGAAAGCCACTCGCGCAATATCTCGACAGAGTTGCGTGAGACCTTCCAGCAAAACCGGCTTCTATTCAAATGTTCAATTTCTTTTTCATTCCTTTACGACGAATAAAAAGGTCTGGTTTTACGGGTCCAGCAGTCTCCACCCACTTCTAGTGGCGTGAGAGGGTCCAACCTTGTGGGCCGAGGGATCCCCAGCCCACCAAAACATTACATTCGGTTTTGTTAATGGGTGGGTGTGAAGCTGCGAACAACGGCCCCTAAACCGAGTGATGAGTGATCTTGAGCAGCTGAAACCTCATCCTGATTCTGTTCAGTGTTGATTATGTGGATTAGCTGTCACCAAATCAACCAGTTACTTAAATAAGCACTTTACTACAGTCCGGAGGGTGGCGATTTCATTGACTAGGATGAGTCTTCATTGAGGTGGAAAACTCCTGCTAGAAATAATCCTTCAAAGCCCAATCATGTTACTGGAAAATATGCAGGCTCCCATTGAAGTGGCCTGTTGCTTTTTTTTTTCACCTTGAAACCTTTGCTCCAAGCCTCCCTGCGCACACTGCACTTCATTAATGATTATATGGAAACGATTTACAGTGCGCTCTCAGTGCCATTAAAATTCCCCGAATCAATCGGTTAAATATATGTGAAGTTGTGTTTGTTTAGTGCTGAAACGGATCTCTGGGTGAGGGTAGAATCTTTTCATTGAAGCGGTCTGAGCATGTGAGTGTGTTCGGTGCCAGGAGTGAACCTGCTCATGTCCTAATTCAGAGCGGAGCCACTGCGCCTTTAAAGCGTAATAATATCTCCAAGGCGCTTTAAGAGCAGGCCTGCTATTACCCAGAGTCAAACTTAACAACAATACCGAGAAATCTTCATATTTACAAGACATTAAGCGCACCACCCACGAGTGTGTGTATACGGTTTATAGTGTTGGGCTCTTTAAATCCCCGCAAACCCACCAAACATTTGGGCTTGTTTAAACATGAGCGATGACCTAGCCAGAGGAAAGGCAAGGACGAGCTACACATTAATGACCAGCGTCATTTCGCAAATAAAGGTCGATTATGTTTTTAAAAATATATATTTTTAAATCCAGTTTGCTCCCAGGAACACGACTCACCTTGACAGCTGACAGCGTCAAAAATAATAGTGTCAAACTGTCAATAAAGTTCATGGTGTTGGAAATCCAATCCAAAGGCAGGCGACGTTTTAAAATCCAAGGGGCCAACGAGGCGATTTCTTCTCAAACATGAAGTTTTCAACAACAGCAACAACATAAACAACAACACGAGCAGGCCGGCTAAAACATGTCTAAAAAAGGGGCAGGGGGTTGTAATGGCAAATCCATGTTGGCCCCGGGGTCGCAGCGTTCAGTGCTTTGCGCATAACTTGTTACTTCTGAACTTTTGCCAATGACTTTCAAGATATCCAGAAACACAAGAATCCAAGACGCACAACGTCTCACATTGTTCCGCAGCAGACCTTTATTCTCTTGACAGGGTATAGCAATCCTCCTCATTACAAAAATAATCCCATGCTTGTTGCTCCAAGTGTCTGTCCATTTGAAACTTCTCCCTGCTCCCGTGTGCAACTTGACGCCACGGAGCAGGATCAGTGAAATAGAAACCCACGCGCGCACATTGTCGTCCCTTTCAAACTTCCTGTCTACATAGGCAAACTCTTGTTTATTTTTTATTCCTGTGACAGAGCTCGGCTCTCTCCGTTACGATAGAAAAACGCGTCCACCTCTGTCTCCGTCTCTCCATAATGTCCACAGGCAGCCGCGCTCGGCAGACGTGGATGATTGGTGGATCATTAAAGCGGGGTAGGTGTGTCCTCTATGGGCTGATATAGGCTACAGCACTGCGAGCTGCTCTGAGGTCTTTTTCTTTTCCTTTTTTTCCTTCCAAAAGTTTCACCTATTAGACGTCGACTCATGTGACCACATCAGCAGCAAGCTATTAAAAACGCAGAGCTGGGATCAGAAGTGCCGAGCTATTTATATCCTTTGTATTTGAGTTAAAAGGGAATGAGGGCGTCCTGATGTTGTGATTGTTCTGTTTTATACTCGAGTCAGTGTCTGAAAAATCATCCACACATACTCCACTTTATCATGTTCATGTTGCATCTCTTTGGCAGCTTCTACCGCAATTTCAGTGATGTGCAATATGATAATAAAACATTTGCATTTAGTCACATACAGACCTTGCTGCGGAAGAAGCATATTCTAAAGTCATGATATTATTATTTGAACATTTCAAGCGCACACGCTAACCACAGTATGTCCTTGATGCATCATAGACCTTTGCTGAACAGACACATTATCTTGGTAAATTAAATAAAATCCCTCTTGGCTTATGAAAAGGGCATTCGGGGCATTTCTTTTCCAGTCTCGTGGCCATTCTGGCTCGTGCTCCGAATATCCATGAAAGAGGAAACACACCTTCTTAGAGTCAGAGAGAGTGTGTACCGGGACACGTAGTCTATCCACGTCTTTTGAAATGTGTGCGTGCGCCGGGCAACGTTGCCACCTGTGATCCGCCGCAGCGTGCCGGCTGGCGCGCGCCAGCACGTTAACGGAAAGTATGAAAATGCCTCCCCCCCCACCCCCACGTAACATCGCTAAGGAAAAATGGGTTTTCTGTTTCTGACCACGGCTCAAAGCCCCTTTTTTGGTTGTATTAGAACGACAGCTGAGACAGCACGCGGCGAGGAAGAGGTGACACAGAGGAAGAAAAAAGATAGATCGTCAAAGTGATGCAAATATGCGGATATTCAGGAGGAGCCAGCGTCACACAACTTCTTTATTCATCAGCATGTGACGTTAATGATAAATATAGTGTATTAAGGGTCCATACACATATCCTAAGTCATTATCTTTCTCAGTTGTGTTGCAAATGTTTGTACATGTTTGTAAATATGCACATAGACTATTACAATTAAAACGATACACTTCTACAGATTGCCTCCTAAAGAGTTATCTTGTTGTAAACAGTAGCTTTCTTCGGGGTTGAAATTGAGGGAATTATAAGTGCCTTAACTAGCATACTGTTAGTCTAACAAAACACTATCATATGCGTTTTGAGTGGATCCTGAAAAATGGTCAGTAGCAACACCTGAGAAAAATATGAAGTGGTATTAAATATAAAGAACAAAGCCTAAAGTGAGGTTCAGTATTTCACTACTGGATTTGTGGTTTATTTCGACCTTGTGTGGACCAGAACATGTTTAATTCATTTGGCTTAATGAAGGGAAATTAATGTTTAATTGTTTTTCCCTGTTGGTTAAAAGCCTGCAGCCAATTTGAAACTTTCCAAGATGCAGATGATTAATTGAAAAAAAAAGAAAAGAAGAAGAAGCTCCTCCAGGGTGTGTTAACCCCTGAGGATCATCTTTTTTTAAATCTGTAGACTATGAAATGTTTAATGGAATCTTAGAAAACGTATTTATTTTGAGTATTTTTGAGCTGCTGTCTCTATTTCTGGATGAGCTCAACATAGTTGTGACACCCTCTACTGGACAAACATTTCACTGCAGGGCTATCACTGTTGTGTCTTCTACCTCCTGCACATTGACAGATTGATAGACACAGAGGAAGAGAAAAGAGCTGATAAAAAACGCAATGACACAAGTTGGCAGCTATGTGCATCACATATTAGCCCTGCTTGCAACAACTCATACCTTAGCATGCAGATAAATGGGGGGTAAAAAGTGCAGACAATGAGCCTTTACAGCCTGGAGAGGATTGAGGCATGATGAAGCAGAAAAGCAGAGAGGCAGAGAGAGTGATGAAAAAAAAAAAGATGGCTTTCCATGTAACTGTAGTTGGTTTGAGAGGAGTTCCTTGGCTCTGTATACTTGTCTGAGATTTAATTGAAGAATAACACTTGAGTTCATTAACAGTGTCACCAAGCTCTTCTTTCTGCTGACTCAGAGTGTGTGTGCTTGTCTGTCTGTGTGTATCTGCACTCGAATGGGCAAGGTGGTCAGAGGTGGTGAGAGTGTGTCCAGGTTTGTGCTGACTCCATACATACACTGGTAAAACATACACACTTTAATGAGGTGGTCCTTTCCAACACGTACAACAAACAGCCTCCCCTCTACCCATCTGTACACTGAGGCACATTTATAGACGTCATAACGGGATCAGGGAGATTCCTGTCAGCAAGTGCGGCTCATTCCTAGATCAGCTTCTTCTTCTGAAATACAACACAACAGAACGTCAATATTTATTTTTGAAAATGAACTCACCGTGAAACTGTTTTTTTATTCATAAAAAGCTAAAAGGATTGAAAATAACTGAATGGTAAATGGACTTGAAGTATAGCGCCTTTCTAGTGTTCTGACTACTATTAGTACACCCTAACCCCCCTATGTAAAAACAATTGCTTGTTTTAAATTTAAGCCCACGCACACTATCAATGATTCACTGTCTCTTGCAGAAACATGTATTTGTTCGTAGGCCAGCACGATAGGATGATAATCACATTTTTTAAAAGTAGAATGTAACTGAGGCTTTCCATAACTAAAAGCGTAATGGCCAGTTGTCTCAGTCTTTTATACCCTGGCACAAAAGTTGTACATTCTTCCTCCCTGTTCCCTCTCTCTTGTCATACCTCATGCATCCCCTACATAACAAAACTTGACTCTTCCTCTCTTGGCCATGAAAGTAAGAGTACGTGAAAGGGATTTGCTCAGCTAGGTGCTTCAAAGACGACTTATGCGATCAAACTTTTCCCTAATCTTGTCTAAATTACCTGTGAAATGGAGAACTAACAGCCTGGCAGTTTGGTTGCACCCCTTATACAGAGGTTATGGTCCTCCAGGGGGCTGGTCCTGGTTCAACACCGACCTGCAGCTCCTTTCCTGCTCGCCATTCCAGATTTCTTACTCTACTCTGTCCACTGTCCCATCTTAAAAACAAAAAAAACTATAAAATTAACCTGCATGCACAATCTGATATTTTATGTTTGTGTATATGATCATGTCTGAAACATCAATGAGGAGTACATGTTCTATGTCAGTCAGGTTGATGGGGTCCATAGCACAGGAGGTTAACATTACTCAAAGGAATAGTGATGTGTGAAATTCACTTCAAAAGGATTCCTTTACGACTCCTTGTGTCTCCCAGGACAAAGCAGCTCCTTCTGCTCCCCTAAGTGTTTGCCAAACGTACAGTAGTTTCATTCCTCACAGAAATGGCCTGACAGCAACTTGGTCTCGATGTGACGCAGATGACTTCCCTCACTGATAACAGTGGTAGAAATCATCAGCCAATCAGTGCTGTGATCTTTGACCTTGACAAGCTGGGAGGAACACTGAGGCAGCACACGTCCAACCGACCTTCATTAACCCTCCTCCATCCTGCTCGCTTATAGGACGATAAGTACGAGTCTTTGGGTAAAGTAAGAGATCAAGTTCAAGTACTTCTTCTGCATGATCTTCCTTTTCTTTAGAGAAGTGTATTCTACTCCCTCATCCTCTCTCTCTTTCTCTGTTTCATATAGTTCATTTGGTCATTTCCAGCAAGCGAGTCGATTTTTTTCTGTACTCTGTCAGGAAGTTCAAAGAGTTCATAAGCCCATTTGGTCAGCAAAGAAGAAAAATTAAAGAAAAGAGCGAGTGAGAGAGAAGATACTTCAACCCGACCTGTCAACATCGATCATATTCTGAAATGTTCGGACTAGTGCAGCGACCACATGTTCAAGGAGTCACACAGCAGAAACAGGCAAATCTGGGAGCAAGTGGATAAAGAAGGCCAGTGAGGGTTCAGGTCAGTCCCGAGTGAAAATGCACGTTAAAGTATTTCTAGATAAGTGAAACCCCCCCTCCAAAGCAGATGTTACCCTCAGGAGTGGCTTTTCTGTATTCTCTTATATAAGTTTCCAATGATTGTCTTACCATGCAGAACAACCTTTGTCTGCCTAAACAGACCAAAACAATTATTTTAGGTCGACAATGTCAGCCTCCTTCACTCCCAATTGACAACGGGAATGTATGTGCAGGAGGTTTTAGAAGATTCAAGGTGTATGAGGTGACTTGTATAAATCAGTGTACTTCTAGTGATGAAAGATACAACAGAAAACTCAAAGTACTTGGTCTTTTTGGATTCTCTGGTTTTTTGAAAATTTCAAACCTCCGAATAAAATGTAGTAGCCTCTTCTGAGCAGAGTCAGAAGCCTGAACTCCAGCCTTTTGGTTGAACCCATGCTGAACCCTTGTATGAACAAAGCAAGATCACGTTTTTATCCTGAGCGTGTTACATGATAACCTCGTTATTAACCTAAAGTTTAAATCAAACCGAGCAAAACCAATAACGAAACTCATTGCATAACTCTAATTTATCCAAGTTAAATCCAAGAGTTAGCATATCCCATCTCATCAGGGGGGAGATCTCTTACCCAGGGTAACGCAACATATGGGCATACGTCTCAACATTGACGATGTACTAGTTACATTTAGTTTTTGCCGTTGTCAGAGGGTAATTTTCAATTCATTTTCAACTGCCGAACATGAAATAGTTTGAGTAATTGACACTTTCAATTAATTCATGAGGAGTCAGTTTTTAAGTTAGATTCATGTTGGAAATGTGGGAGGTCTTAGATATCGTTTAGGTTTAACAAACCTCAATAAGGCGTACCGGCTAACTTCAAGTTGTGTATTTATCTGTTTGTCTGTGCCTTCCTATTTTTGAACCCTAAAGATTGATGCAAATTTTGCAGTTACTTTAACCAATGCAGTTCATGATCCCACATGGTGAGGTTAGATTATTAGATTGTAGCCCATTATAGACAATAATGCCCAAATCTGGCTCCTACAATAA